GTCCAATGTATATATAGGTATAAGTATTTTGAAAAGCTGCCGTATAGTTTGTGTCTGAAATACCTGAAAAGATATCTCAAACGTGGTGGTTTAAGTTTTTTTACAATAACCTGTCGTGGTTTGTGTATGCACGAATTACACGAGTGAAAAGATTAAGAGGCAATTTTTTTCTATGTCACATATAGTGTTCAAAGCCGAAAATCTTTTTGGTGTATCTCTCAAAATTGCTTTGTTTTAGCTTTAGTTTATACAGTTAGCTAGCTACCTTTTCAAATGCATTTGCCGGTTAAGAAATATCAAATAATAGGGAAAATTTGTCAATTAAAATACAATCATTAATGATGCTTTAAAGTGACGCGCTTATATATTTACAGCAATTTAAGCCGCAAAACTTACTGAACTTCAGACATAATTTTCTCTTTACTACTTTAGTTAGCGTACAATCTATAATCTCTTTATTTTAGTATATAATATTACAGATAAAGCACTAAATATACTTTTTAAGTTTGTTTGCCGATTGAAACACATTTCGAAAATTAATATTTTGAACATAGTCATAACCACGCAAGGCAGATTATTCTCATTATAGTTTTGAGCGCCATGTAAAGTGTAGTGACATGTATCTCATCGAAATGTAAAATCCTAAAGCCTCTGCGGAGGAGAGAGACTTACAACAGGGCCTTGGATTGACAGGTGCAAATATTTTTAATTTTTTCATGCAGGCATGCAATTCAGCCACAGAAAGAAATTTGATTCAAGCAATGAAGAGCAGGTTGATTTTGTACTTTATTACACTCAATTCTCTGCACTCAATTAATGTTATTATAAAACTCCCATAATCTGCGGAAGGGCGGTAAAAATTAAAACACTACATGACCTTCTTTAGTTAATGACATTGCACTTGGAATTACATTTTTTGCGATATTAATAATTTACGCAACAACATAAATAAACGCGATGAAACGCGATGTATTACTGAATAGACTTGAAACAGCTAGGGCATTCGATTAGATTTAAATGATCGTTAAAACTCAAGCAACAAAATTTCACACAATTTTTTTAAGATCCAAAGTGGCTAGTGAGATACTTTGACGATCTATTAATTTAACTTGTTTCTTTCTTTCTTGAGATATTCAATTCTATGGCGTCAAATTCTATAATGGTTTCTGAAAAAACTTGTTAATTCGTACAGATAGATAATTGTTTCAAAGTTGTCCGACGTACATGAAACATTTAACCGTTGTCTGTTGAGTTATAAGCGAGCTTAAACATGTGTAGGACGGCAACACGGCCAAAACAAATTCCTTCAAATAAATGATAGTAAAGAAAACTTGTCGTATATTATAATTCGTATAAATTTAAAACAGTACAAGAAGTTGAAAACATTGCCATTGGCTTTATATGTTTGGGAAGAGTTCCACTGAACCGAATTTTAAGGTTACAGGACACGTTTTGCGGAAAATCGCTACTGCGCGCTCAATATCAGTCCGATTTTCATCACATTTTCACCAAATGTTCTCCAGTGCATGCAAAATATGGTAAAGTTGTAAAATTAACAAACAATAAAATAATGTAAGAATTATTCAGGAAAATCTTAAATCGCGGTACCGTTACGCTTTTGAGTTATGCTCCTGCTGGTTTTAAGTTATATTTATGAAAATATCATTTTTATACAGTAAAGCCCCGTTTACACTACGCTCAATTTTTGGTACGGTACGGATAAAATTGGTACCCGTACCACTTTTCTGGTTCTTGGACTACCTATTAGGTAGTCCCCAAGAACCAAAAAGTGGTACGATACCAAAAATTAAGCGTAGTGTAAACGGGGCTTAGCTAAATAGGTAGTTAAAGAACCAAAAAAGTGGTACGGGTACCAATTTTATCCGTGCCGTACCAAAAATTGAGCGTAGTGTAAACGGGGCTTAAGATAGTTGTTCTAAAAAATTGTGTTCGGAAATTTTTGTTTATTTCGTCATTCCGCTGATATGGCGATTTCTTTGACGACTGCAATATATTTCTGAATCGTTTGAGTGAATTGCTCTTTATTTTTAAAATATCCAAAATTAAAAAAAAGCCGAACACAATTTTGAAACTGACGTCTTTAGCTATGTCCTGTGAAAATTTGAGAAAAATTGGTTAAAACCCGCAGGAGCACAACTCGTTTGAAAATCAGTAATTACCGTAAACTTTTTCGGGAGAAAATTGAATTTGAATATTACATTTTCAATGTTTTTCTTATTGCAGCGAAATGTATTTTATTAAATAACTCTGCGAGTTTTCAACATTTTTCGTTCAAACTTGGTCAGATAGTAGAACTAGTCTAATGCTTTCATGGAAACCAATAAAAAAAATTTAGGCAAAATTAACACTCGCAGGTGTTCTGTAACCTTAAGCTCCCTATAATATACACATCATGACGTCATAATGTGGGAAGAACAATGAAAAAGCGGCTCACGAGTCGCGTGGATCACTTTTTCTGTTCTTCCTAATTATGATGTCATACTTTGTATCTATAACTGAACAATGCAGACAACGGCCAAATCTTGCAAGTTTTTTTCAGAAAGTCATTATACAATGTACGTCATAGGCATAGTGAGAAAATTTGCATATGAAAAATTGTTAAATATCTCAAAAACGAAGCAAGCTGACAACAGTTTGGCAAACTATCTCATGCGGTCATGAGAATGAAATCATAAAAAGGATGTAAAATTTCGTTGCATATAAGCACTGTAAAAACATTATAAACATTATTTATTAATATTGAAATATATAAAATACAAAGGAACATGAATTTTACAATAAATAACGAAATAGTTTGGAAGACTTGCGTTCTTTACGACACCGAATTCAAAAGACTGGTTGGATTTCCATCAAAATCGTATTTTATAAATCTCGTTTTTGTTTGCATTGTGAATATTCTGCTAACTGTATCGACAATTTTTTTAAATACAATCACAATTTTGGCCTGTTGGAAATCGAAAGAGTTGCGCAAAAAGAAATCGTATTTTTTGATAGCTTTATTATCTTCGAATGATCTGACGATGGGTGTTTTGGGAAGTCCCAGCGTGGTCGCGTTAATGGTGAAAACTTTGATGCAGAATTGTGAGTGTACCACCGTTATTTTATTTGAATTGACAGCAAGTGGTTTGCTCGCTATTTCTTTCATGACATTATTTTTGTTAAACTTGGAACGATATTTGATCATAGTGCATCCTTTTTTCCATCGTAATAAAGTTACAAAATTGCGATTGTTTGGAATAGCATTGGTTCTATGGAGTCTTGCCCTACTACTTATGTTTTCACGGTTATTCGTGGATACAGCCGCAAGATATATAAGAACTATAGCGATAATTATTATTATCATTCTTGTTGTATGTATGTATATGTCGATAATCCACACCTGCCGAAAAACAGCTCAACGATGTCGCTCACAACGCGAATTAAGAAATCACACGGCGAAGAACATACAAGATCTTAAACTGACAAAATCGTGCGCAATTGTGGTGTGCTGTTCAATAATATGTTTCATTCCGTTTTCTGTGACAAGCTTTTTAAGACCTCAAGGGAATATAGTTGTGTTTGCTGTGGCGTTTTGGAGCAATACACTTGCAATAGCAGGTTCTTCAATCAATTCTGTAATTTTCTTCTGGCGAAATAGGGTTTTACGAAATCAAGCAAAAAGAATCCTTAACTGCCAAGCCTAAACGGACATCGGCTTTTTATACTACGAATTTCGTATCGAAAGAAAATTGATTTCAGATGGTGACTGCGTCTATTTATTTGGAACGCTTTTTAAATATATATATCAGAAAAATGTGAAGACTGATGCAGTATACATATAAAGTGGGCCCATTGGTCCGCCAACAACTAAATGGAGTATTAATTCGATGAATTCACATATATCACATATTGAGAAATTGGAGAAAGTAGAATTCTTTATTCAACGATATGAGCATGAATTATGACTGAACAAACAAAAGACCTTTTCATGTTTGCAAAAGAGCACTTGAAATCAATTATACATTTGCTGCTAACAAGTGCTGTATTTTATCAAAGATTGACATTGTTAATTAAAAACAAGCTTTCGGCTTTGAAATTTCAGCTGTTTGACCAGAAAGCATCCAAACAAGCTTTCGGCTTCGAAATTTCAGCTGTTTGACCAGAAAGCATCCGTTTTATTATTGTATTATCTTTATGTTATGTCTTGAACAGCGGAGAAATAAAGTTATGCCTTATGGGGGCCGTTAATTCATACGAAAAACATTTATTCCGGATAGGAATAAATTACGTTTCCCAACTAGCGCGGTTTTGGCACGAATAATTTTTCGAATTGTGTTCAAATGTGAAAAAAGAAAATTAAATTGTTCAAACAACAACTTTAACAAAGAATCTCAAACAATAAGACATGAAAAAAATCAATTTCAACAAAATGTCCGTTTTTTAATGTCAAACAATTTCAGAAAAAACTAAAGCGAGGAAAATTTTAGTAATTCTTTATAATAAGTAATTCTTGAATAAGTAATCTTTACAAATTCAAGAACTTTCAAGGACTTCAAGGACTTTCAAGGACTTTCAAGGACTTTCAAGGACTTTCAAGGACTTTCAAGGACTTCCAATTTTTGTACGAGCATCATGACAGGTTTTTAAATGAATATGTTGTTAGCCTTATTATAAACTTTGTTCTGCTATGGCGTTTATTGTGTTATGTATTTTGTAAATTGTTGCAATGTCTGAAACACGTATTTGCACGAATAACCATTATAACACGAATTCAAAGCTTTTATCATGCAGTCACACGAAGATAAACTGCTTATCTAACCTCATACTCAATAGTGAGCTTAGGCAAGCGACGTTTGTGATTGATACAAACACAGTTTTTACAGTCAGAGTACAAAAAGTGTCTCACTTCCGCTAGCTTCTGTAGTCGGTTGTGAATTACAGTGATTTAGTTTGTTTTTCTGTAGTGGTTACCGATTTATCGGCAAATACAGCGATAAAATTTAGTTTTCTTTCCTTTATATGATAATTTGTAGGATTAGTTGCATAAAAGGTGCGAAATTTTAACTTTATCGCGGTATTTGCCCGGCAAATCGGTAACCGCTACAGCAAAACACAACAAATTGCAGTAAATCACAACAGACTACACAAGAGCGGAAGTGGGAGACTTTTTGTATATATTTTGACTGTAATCCAGTCCCCCCTCGGCAATCTGACATCGTGTTACTTGTTTAAGCTTGCCTATAGCTCTATTCATACGGCTGCATCTCGTATTCTCATATTTTCAGAAGTTTCACCAATTTCATTTGTAGAGTACTCTATCCTTGGATTCTGAAAAACGATGAAATCGATGTAAGAAAAACAATTACAGAATTATGGAAATCTATATAAGGGCAAGAAAATTCAACTACATCGGTTGAATATTTGTATTAAGTTCAAATGAACGAATCGAAGACATCAAATTTTGAAATTTACTCTTGTATGCTTTTTCCAAATTGCACTCCAACCATACCATTACATATATTAATAAAAATAATTAGCATTTTTTTCTCACCCTAAAAACAGAAAGTTGACCACTATCTGGTGCACGATGGCGCTTAGTATAAAAAGATATCTCACCATGCATGGAGAAATGTTTCATTTCATACAAACCTGTAAATCATTGTTTTCAAATCGTTTTAGAGCATTCTCTGCCCATAGTAAAAGTGGGACACCATCAACCGGCATCTCCAATTTGGCTGGTTTTCTGTTCAGTAAACGTAAAACTCGGGATATGTCGCGTATAAGTGCTCTAGAAAACAAGAAAACTGTCAAGAAAACTGTAGCTAACAGTAACAAGAACACCACTACCATATTCACCAGCACCATCAATATGATTACCGTTACCATTACTACCACCGTCATCACCATCATGAACACAATCCTAATGACCACAATCATCATCTAGCGTATCCCTAAAAATTGTTCCTTTTGGAATATCACAATAGTAGAAAGTTTCGCATGATTTACGATTTCTGCGCAAGGCATTTCGATTGGGTAGAAGCACAAGGGTGTGTACATGTTCATTCAAGGGGAATCCCCATTAAAATTACATACTGCAGCATAACAATAGCGATTTATTTTGCCAAGGTTTATGCATATGTTTAAATCCCAAACTCGGAACACATGTAAATTATGTTAGTTGTACC